CCACAAAAGTGTCAGTGTCAAACGTGTAGTACTTGTGGATTTGTATTGAAAATTATGAGACGGATGAAACTTGTTCATTGAAAATCTCAAATAAATTAATTTGTCGTAAATAAAGTAGACTATACTACTCGCAATAATGGCTATTATTCCCTCGGAATGTTACTCCCTCGCCGCTAACGCGGCTCAGTTCATAATAATCCTCGGGAATAATAGCTATCATTATTGACTCGTGGTATAATCTACTATTATTATTAAAAAAATTAAATGACTAATCATAATTAATGGTGTGCTTGCAAATAAAATAGTATACAAACCTTGAAGGAAAGTTTTCATTTCTGTCTCGAGATTAATATTCAATCTCTCGACAGTAATGAAACACTTCCCTATTCGGTATGTAATATACTGTTACATCTTTTTGATACCTACCTATCCAATCAACCAGTGCCGGTGGGGTGTAAAAATATATGGGAAAACCCTGTACCTACGTCCCAAACACATTCCTAAAAAGCTATACTAAATACGTACGTTAATGTACGTCCCAAACACGTACCTAAAAAGCCGTACTGAGTACGTATCTAAATGTACGTACGTGGGACGCACTATTTTGTGGAAAACGACCGTCATAAAGACGTCCCCTCGTACGTCGGCGGGGACCTAAAAAGTACGTCCGCGGACGTACTTTCGTCCGAAAAAGTACGAATTATGGACGTAGTAAAGACGTACTTGTGTTTGTTGGGTTCCTCTTTACATGCAAAAAGTTTCAACATTTTTCCTCAATTAGTTTTCCAGGAAAACTTTGAAATGTGTGAAGTTGCATTTTCAATTAAATAATTTCTTCTAAGTTGATTCCCAAGATTTGATGTTATTTTCCTCTGGAGAAATTTGAAATTTTGGCAAAATGACCTCCTGACTTTCCTCTTCACATGCAAAAAGTTCAAAAATTTTGCCTCTATTGGTTTTCCAGGAAAATTTTGAAATGTGTGAGACTGTATTTTCAAATAATTCAGTTATTTTAAGTTAATTTTCAAGATTTCTTATGTTGCTATTTTCCACTGGAAAAATTTATAAAATTTGGAAAAATGAGCTCCTAACTTTTCTCTTTACATGTAAAAAGTTTCAAATCTTTCCTTTTATCAGTCTTCCGGGAAAACTTTGAAATGTGTGAGACTGTATTTTTAATTAGTTCAGTTTTTGTAAGCTGATTTCTAAGATTCTTCATGTTGTGTTTTTTCACTGGAAAATATTTGAATATTTGGGAAAATGAACCTCTAACCTTCCTCTTTATATGCAAAGAGTTTCAAATTTTTCCCTTCGCTAGTTTTTAAGGTAAACTTTGAATTGTGTGAGACTGTCTTTCAATTAATTCAGTTTTTGTAGGCTGTTTTCCAAGATTCGCCATATTGTTATTTTCCAATGGAAAAATTTGAAATTTTGGGAAAATGATCTCCTAACCTTTCTTTTTACAAGCAAAAAATTTGATTATTTTTCCTCAATTAGTTTTCCAGGAAAAATTTGAAATGTGGGAAGTTGTATTTTCAATTAAATAATTTTTTCTAATTTAAGTTTCAAGATTTTTGATGTTATTTTCCTCTGGAAAAATTTGAAAATTTGGCAAAATGACCCTTTAACCTTCCTCTTCACATGCAAAAAGATCCAAAATTTTGCCTCTATTGGTTTTCTTAGAAAATTTTGAAATGTGTGAGACTGTATTTTCAAATAATTCAATTATTTTAAGTTAATTTTCAAGATTTCTCATGTTGTTATTTTCCATTGGAAAAATTTATAAATTTTGGAAAAATGAGCTCCTAACCTTCCTCTTTAAATGTAAAAAGTTTCAAATTTTTCCCTTTATCAGTTTTCAGGGAAAACTTTAAAATGTGTGAGACTATATTTTTAATTAATTCAGTCTTTAGTTTTTGTAAGCTGATTTCCAAGATTCTTCATATGGTGTTTTTTCACTGGAAAATATTTGAATTTTTGGGAAAATGAACCTCTAACTTTCCTCTTTATATGCAAAGAGTTTCAAATTTTTCCCTTCACTAGTTTCCTAGGAAAACTTTGAATTGTGTGAGGCTGTCTTTCAATTAATTCAGTTTTTGTAGGCTGTTTTCCAAGATTTGCCATATTGTTATTTACTGATGGAAAAATTTGAAATTTTGGGAAAATGAGCTTCTAATTTTCTTCTTCACATACAAAAAGTTTCAGATTTTTCCTTCCAGGAAAACTTTGAAATATGGGAGACTGTATTTTCAAATAATTCAGTTTTTGTAGGCTGATTTCCAAGATTTTTCATGTTGTTATTTTCCCCTGGAAAAATTTGAAATTTTGGGAAAATGACCACCTAACCTTCCTCTTCACATGCAAAAAGTTTTAATCATTCTCTTAATTAGTTTTTTAGGAAAACTTTGAATTGTGTGAGACTGTATTTTCTAAGGGGCGAACCACCTAGGAATTCTTTGCCAAAAATGTGGGGAATTGCGGTATAGGGAATTTGAAGAAATTTATGGGGAATTTGGAGAAATTTTCAGTGAATTTGGAGGAATTTATGAGGAATTTAAAGAGAAATGTAGGGTCATGACGTCACTGAGGTTCACATTTTTATTACAGACACTAATAATTGGAAATTTTTAAAAAAAATCTTGTTGGACGTTGGACATACATTTTTATCAAACAAACTCCCCCAAAATTAGACTCCATGATTTACAGGTTCAAATTTAAAAGAATACTCAATTTAATATTCAAGGAAAAACCTTTTGGAATTAGATCCACTAAGACTTGAATGGATTTGAATGCTACATTCAAGATACTGTTCATATTGGGGCCAAATTAGAAAATCCCTTAAGTACTGAGAAAAAAATTATTGGTCATTAGAGAATGGAGATTACATAATTTCAGTAGATTATTTTAAAATGGGAATTGGAGAACATTAAGGAAAACATAACAAAACGTTTATTAGTTAAATCTGACATTGTTCCAGAAGATAGGATGAACTTTTCCAGAAAAGGTACAAAATCTCCTTGAAAATGATCCTGAGTGCAAAGGAACTTCAAGCTACTGGAAGTTGATACAAATTTCAAGTTTATATGTACAGTTGCGATCAAAAAAAAGTAGTACAAGAAAAATCTCCAAAATCTCCCGGTCTATTAAACATTAATTTAATTCATTACCAAAAGTTAACATATTTTTGGCATTTTTAACAAATTTTCAACCTAGAAAGCTTCAGATGACATTACTTTGGCATTTTTCTACCTGTTTTTAACCTAGAATATGTCATTACGTGAACCCACCATATTTTGAAATGTTTATTTACTGTCAAAATTTTGTATGTTACACTGGGAGCTCAAATTGGGGTTAATAATTTTTGTACTACTTTTTTTTTTATCGCAACTGTACATATTTGAATCCCTGTCAAAGTTGCAAACACGTTGCAAAAAGTCAATTTTCAACTGTCAATATTTCCAAAATATTTTTATTGAATCGGCTGTTACTAGGTGGAAATTCATTATCTAGTAAAAGATTTTTTAAAGTAAATTGATATACTTATGTATTTCCACTAATTTTTGTTAAACTTTAACATGTTTCGCTACATTGTAGCTTCATCAGAAAGATTTAGACATAAAAGTGAAATTGTCAAATATAAATAAGGTAAAAGCTGGTCTAATTTTATGTTAATCTGAAAAGGTATTATACAATAAATAAATTTAAAAGTGGTGAATTGTTCAAATCTAATTGGACATTCAGTAAACTGTCTAAATTTTTAAGTTTGTTTATTTCTAGAGGTTCTCGAAGATTTAATTTTATCCCTTTGTTTTCATTATGTAACATTTGAAATTCATTATTAAAGTTTAACAAAAATTAGTGGAAATACCAATTTTATATCAATTTACTTTAAAAAATCTTTTACTAGATTTCCAAAATAGTTGAACTTAGGTATAGGGTATATTTCATGAAATCTGCTCAGAATTTTTTGTAGAATCCAAGTATGCGAGGACATACAGGGTGTTCTATTTAAAAGAACAAAGTTCTGTCGCATACTCCATAAACGGAGCACCCTGTATATTCAATAATATTTTTAGCTAATGGATATTTAGAGTATCAAATAACTTTGTAATTCAATTTTTTTTTTTGCATCACCCTGTAAGGAGATATCGTCTGATATCGTACTAAGTGAACACCCTGTATAATTCAAATGAGATCTAAAAATAGGTACCTACTACCTACTACCTAATCAAAATACTGGCTAATAATCTGTGAAACAAACAAAAACTTAAATTTTCACAAACAGTCCTCGCATAAAATTTGACTTAAAAGAACCAGATTTAAGTTATTGTTCATTAAAAGCTGCTGGTTTATAAAGGTCACAAAACAAGAAATAAATAGTGGATTTGGATTTTTGCTTTTGATATAAATACACAAAACCCAAAAGTATACCAAGAAATTCTTACAGCTACACCCTTATAATATGCGCCTTTTCAAAATACATACAATTTTATAAATTTTAACCTTGTATATTATCTATGACAGAAAAATCAAGAAACTTTAATTGACTACATAATATTATCATTATCAATATAGTACCATCATTAGCCAAAAAAATAATTGGCGAATTTATTAAACAACCAATATGCGATAAAATACCAAGGTTGTAAAAAAACGAATACATTTTTTTATCAAAGGTTAAATTCCTTTAGATGGTATAGTAACTTCAATGAGTCCAATTTACAAGATAAACTTTTTGTATTTTAATAATAATTATTACCCTTGGCACACAATATTATTAATCCAACTTCTTGAGTTGGGTAATTAGTTTTGTATCGGATCCCATTCTTCAATGACTTTGATTTGTCATATTAATAATTATTATTCGCATACCTAAATAAAAGTAAAAGTGATTTTGTATGCTAAAAATTCGCATTACATACTTAATTGAACCAAGGACAATGCACTAGATAATTGATCGTTTTCTTTATAATATGTCCGATTATTGTGGAAATTCTTACCTTGCACGTTCAAAATTGGCAGCACTGGAACTTCCTGTAGCAGCAAATCCGACACCTACGGCCAATCCTTCAGGGATGTTGTGTACAGTTATGGCGACCACTAGCAACATGATCCTCTTCCAATGTCCATGTTGGATTTCTTCAATGTTGCTGCCATCTTCGTAGCTCTGTGGCATAACATTTCCGTCAGGATACTGTTCGTTTTTGTTAGTTTCATTCTTTTTACCTACTATAATGAAGAAAATAATCGCATTAGATTTGTAATAAGGGTCGAGGGATGGTTAACTGGTCAAAATCCGTGTACAAGTTGGTCAAAATCCCAGAAAATCTCATAAGATCTACTCAAAATCTTTGAAATTCTTAAAAATTTAACAAAATCCCACTTGAAATTGCATAAAATCCTACAAAATCTAACAAAATTTCATTAAAACCAAAAAAATCCTGCAAAATCTCATAAAATCATTAAAACATTCCCAAAAAATATTTCCTTTGAAATCCTTTGGAATCCCCAAGAATCTGTTAAAAGTCTCTCAGAATTCCATAATTTAGTGGAATTTCGGTAGAATTATGTTATTCTGAAAAAGGAATTACATGTGAAATTTTTGCGGAGTTTCCATAGAATTCACATTGAATTTTAGTTCCTCTCGAATTGCATGAAATTTCAGTGAAATTCCGATCAAATTACACGAAATCCTAAATGAATTGCATGGAGGAATTCTAAACAATAATTATATGAAATTACACCGAAATTCCTAACATGAAATTTCAGTTGTTACTGAATTTTAGAAAATTCCACAAGTGGAATGCCAAGGAATTTCCGGCTAAAAACATGGGGAATTTCGGTGATATTCCGAAAACTTCCCATGTAATGACATGAAATTTCAATATATTTTGGTGAATTTTCAAGAAATTACTTGAAGTTTCATTAATATTCCCAGAAATTCCTGGCTATTAAAAGAGAATTTCAATGATATTCTGAAAAATTCTTATGGAAATATACGAAATTTTAAAAAATTCCTTGAAGTTTCATTGGATTTTCGAGAAATCTTCGACTATGAACGTAGAATTTCAAAATATTCTTATAAAATTTTAGTGAATTCCGAGGAATTTTTGAGAAATTACATGAAATATCAATGAAATTCCGAAGGATTTTATAAAAATTTTGTGGAACTCCAGGATATTTCAGTGGTGAAATTTTGGTATTTTCAGTAAAGAAAAAAAAAATAAAAAAATATGGAATTTTGAAACTTTACTGGAATTCCGAGGAATTTTATGAAATTCTATATGTACTATGATTCCGAAAAAAAATTGTCTACGAATTCCATAAAATCTTCTGGTGAAATGTTAAGGAATTTCTATGGAATTACTTAAAATTTTCGCGGAATTCCTATGGAATTACTTGAAATTTTAGTAGAATTCCGAAAAATTTCATCAAATCTTGTATTGTAATTCCGAAGAAAAAAAAAAATTCCAAGAATTCCACTGAATTTTATGGTGTGAAATGTGGTATTTGATATTTTTGCGGAGTTTCCATAGAATTCACAATAAATTTTAGTTCCTCTTGAATCACACGAAATTTCGAGAAACTACATGAAATTTCAGTGGAATTTCGATCGAATAACATAAATTGCATGGAGAAATTCTAAACAATTACATTGAATTACACCGAAAATTCCAACATGAAATTTCAGTGTTCGTTAAATTACATTAAGAATTTTGAAAAAGTTTCAAAAAATTACATAATTTCCGAGGAATTTTTGTCGAACTATATAGAGCTCCGATGTAATTGCATGGAATTTCAAGGTATTGTCAGGGAATTACATGTAATTTAAGTGGAATTTTGTACAACTCTAATCGTTTCATAAGGAATTCCAGTAAAATTCCGAAAAATCTTAATGTTATTACATGAAGTTTTATTTTTATTCCAAGGAATTCCCAGTTAAAAACATGGCATTTTAGTGAAATTGAAATTCCGAAATTATGGAGGGTTTCAGTCAAACCAATCGAAAACTCGAAATTTTTATTTTTCATATTTTCGAAATTTTGACTTTTCCAATTGATTAAGCTAGTTTAAATTAATCGAAAAAAATTCTAACATCACTTTCAAAATGGCGATTTCAAAAAGCTAAAAAATCTCAATTTTTGTTCTGGAAATTTTTTCAAATCTTGACAAGGTTAGGAATAATGGCCAATATCTTCAACGAAATTTGAACAAATCAAAACAAACTATATATGGTTGGAAAGAGCATTAAATTCTCTATAAATCCATGCTAAATTGGTTGTGATAACTCGAATACTTTCTGGGCAATTGGATCTCAAAGTAAACTTTTAGTCCAAATTTTATCAAAAATTTCAAACTCGATTTTCTCGAAAACCATAAGAGCTAGTGAATTTAATAAAATACCATTTTAAAGCCCTTATCAAGAGTTACATTTCCTGGAAATTTTAATTCAAAATCTTCAATAGATTTTAAGATATCCAAGATCAAATATTTTTTGATAAAAATGTAAAGGGGTAAGTAACCCTTTGAAAAAATCGAAATTTTTATTTTTCAGATTTTTTGAATTTTGACTTCTCCAATCGATAGAGCGGATCTAAATTAGTCGAAAAAAACTGTAACTTCATTTCCAAATCTCGATTTCAAAAAGGAAAAAAAAAAATCAAAAAGAAAATCTTAATTTTCAGATCTAATTTTTTTTTAAATTCTGACAAGTTTAGGAGCAATTGCCAATACTGCCATTAAATTTTGAGTAAATCAAAATAAATTATATATGGTTGGAAAGAGCATCGAATTCTCTATAAATCAGTGCTAGATTGAGTTTGATAACTCCAATTACTTTTGGAGCAATTGAGCCTCAAAGTTGGACTTTAGTTGAAATTTAGTCAAAAACTTCAAACTCGATTTTCTCAAAAACCGTAAATGCCAGCGACTTCAACTAAATACCATTTCAAAGCTCTCATCAAGGGCTACAATCTCAAAAAAAAATTGATCCAAAATCTTTGACGGATTTCGAGAAAATTGAGTTTGCAAATTTTTAAGTTAAAATCCAAAGGGGTTTAACCCTTTGAAAAAATCGAAATTTTTATTTTTCAGATTTTTCGAATTTTGACTTTTCCAATCGATAGAGCGGATCTAAATTAGTCGAAAAAAACTCTAACTTCATTTCCAAATCTCGATTTCAAAAGGTGAAAAAAAATCAAAAAGAAAATCTTAATTTTCGGATCTAAATTTTTTTAAAATTCTGACAAGGTTAGGAGCAATTGCCAATACTTCCAATAAATTTTGAGCAAATCAAAATAAATTATATATGGTTGGAAAGAGCATTAAATTCTCTATAAATCAGTGCTAGATTGAGTTTCATAACTCAAGTACTTTTCGCACAATTGAGCCTCACAATTGTTTTACTTGAAATTTAGTCAAAAACTTCAAACTCGATTTTCTTAAAAACCGTAAATGCCAGCGACTTCAACTAAGTACCATTTCAAAGCTCTCATCAAGGGCTACATCCAAAATCTTCGATGGGTTTCGAGAAAATTGAGTTTGAACTTTCCTTAAATGCTCCAAAATCACCTAAAATCTTTTAAAATCCTGTAAAATCATGTGAAGATTTTCAAAATCCTAAAAATCCTACAAAATCAAGATTTAAAATCTGTGTACATATTTTAAGGAGTTAATCATCCCTCGAATAAGGGTATATTTGAGAAAAGTTGTCTTTATATAGATTTTAGCTGGGAAACGTCAATGTTGGAATAAGAAGTTTGAAGAAGAAATACAAGAAAAGGTGTAATCTGTGTCTTCTCAAGGTTTTGATTTATTTTTCTGGAAAACCAACTGCAACAAGGAAAACGTTAAATTTTTCATCCAAATATCCAGCAGCAACAATTTCTAATTAAACATCTTATAATATATTTGTATATTTGCAACGCACTTATAATAATCGTTGCTAAACAAATATTTAGGAAAATCTCTCACAGCTTTCCACTATCACCAGGATCAGTAAATAATCATTCCCCCTTTGCATTAATTGTATTAGAATTAATTTTTATTGCATTTTGATAATATAATCTTGCTTTCAATAAAACAATGATTCGCCAGTGTCAATTTGGAGGTGTGCAAATTTATATTTAGCTACTGTTTGTGTGTAAATAATTGAAATATCAAATGACTTCCTTATGAATAAAATCTTCTTTTTAAACGTATTCTTGGCGTATGGATTCGAGTCTAAAAAAGGGCATGTGTGACCTAGTTTAAACATTAAAGTGCCCTTCTGGCTTTTTCAACAGCTTGTGTACTTTGTATTTTTTGTCCCTCCTTAATATGAACAGATTGGGGTAATCCAGAGGGCAAGAGAAGTCTTAAAAAAACCTCAAAAGAGAAGTTTGCTGGTAAAAACTGGACAAAGACAGCTATAGACAGATAGAACTAGAAAGATATGAAATTTGCCTAGGTACATTGAGAAATGGATGAGAAGAAGAAGTGTATGTGTATCTTTGTCAACCAAAATTTTTCCAATAGTAATTAAGTAAAGTTGAGATTTGTAACTTACCCCTTCTACGATGAACAAAAGTGCCCCCGATGTCAGTAAACCCTTCAACGGCAGTAGTGTCAGGTAGCGGTACATGAGTAGAATCCCTTCTAGAACCATCCCTACTTTTACCCTTATTCGAAGCGTGGAGCGCTTAAATTTAAAAAAAAAATCAACCTCATTAGATTTTAATTAAAATATTAAAATTTCGGCTATTTTTACCTAACATCATGTTGGGAGAATGCACCCCCAGCACTGTAATTAAAACATCGGCTCCGTAAACGAATAGGGAGCCCAACAGGAAGCCGAGTGCTACAGGGGCCCAAGCGTACTCGCCGTTTTCGCCGTAGTATTTGGAAGTTTCGGCTAGTTCTATTGCTGGCGATAATAGTGACCAAAACGAGGCTGCCACCATTACTCCAGCGGCGAAGCCCAAGCTGGCATCCAGGACCTTTCTCTGAAAATTAAATGAAATTGTTTAAAAATTGAATGTTTGAGTTTTATAGGCACTTCAAGTAAATTCCGATGTGTAAAGTCGAAATCTTCACGTGAAAAAAATGGAAATTTGACTATTTTAGAAAGAAGACTCCAACTTTGAACATGAATTTTTGGAATTATTCTCAGATTTGATGCCGAAATCTATGAAAAAAGGCACTCAGAAAAATTGAAAAATTGATAAATCACCCCAAATTGCTTAACACGATTTTATCTCAGGAACTATAAGTGCAAATGGGCTGAAATTTTCAGGGATTGTAGTTCTTTGAAAGGGATAAAATTCAGTGAAAGTTTCAGCTTTCTATCTATAATAGAATAAAAGTTATGACCTTTCAAACTTTTCCACCTTCTTACTAAAACGATGAAATTTCAAATTTTTTTTGTCGAGATTTTGTATCCTAATGATCAGTCAACATCCCCCAAACTTTTTGTGAAAATATGGACATTTCCACCCTAGTCTTGGGCACAAATGGTATTGGGAGTTATAGGCAGTACCAATATACACCATTTAGGGTACTTAAAAAATGATATAGAAATCCCTAAAAAAAAATGGAAATCACCTGGTAATCATACAAAAATATCTGAAAATCATTGGCAATCAGTCGCAATTCTTGGGATGGGAATTGCTACATGAGATTTATAGAACAGTGATTGCCAAATATGAGAATCATTGTATGTACATTAGCAAAGACAGTAGTAGTGGTATTGTCTTTGACATTAGTAAAGGTCTATAAACTTAGCAGTCCCAAGGTGGAAAAAAACTTTGGGAACTATATAATAACTAGGTGCTTTTTAGGTGCTAATTAGGGCCTCTAATTAAAAATTAGGTGCTCCTTTAGTTTTTGAGAAAATCAAAAAAAACTAAGGGATTGCTAGGTTTATGTAAGCTAGTAATCCCCCGAGGGGCTTTTCACCTACCAAAATTTGTACACCGATTTCCATTTTTCTTAATATTCACGGTATTTCCATGTATTTTTGAGTGTTTCTAAGTATTTCCAAGGATTCCCAAGTATTTCCAAGTACTTCTGAATATTTCTTAGTATTTATAAGTATTTCCAAGTATTTCCAGGTATTTCCAAGTATTTTTCTATTGCATACCGTACGGAATAAAAATAAAAGTTTCTGAATTAGAATGCGTGCGGGAAAATGATGTTTTACGCACGTTTTTGGAAAAAAAAAAAAACATTTCTAAAGCTGGTGAGTACCAAAGAGGATATTTGGTATTTGTGGACAACAAGAAAAATTATGCATGAGGTGAATACTTAAATACATATAAACATATAGGGTATCAAATTTCATATAGATTTGTCTACAACTGCTTACCGCATGCACGCCTGTTGACTTCAATTTGGAGAGATCGCATAAATGGACCAGCAATTCGACAAGGACAAAAAAAAAAAAATTCAAACTATTTTTAATAAACTAGGAAACAATTTTCTACACAACAAGGAAATTTTTCTGCCCAACATAAATAAGATAAAATTGCACTTATAATATTTACAAGGTGTCCCAAATTCAAGCAGTATCATTATGATATTGGAAACGGTAAGAGATACAGGGTCGGTTAAATTATTGCAAAGTTTCGCAATTTTATGCTTCACAAAATACCGTTTGCAAAATTTAAAAATTCCAAATAGTTCCGGAAATATTGGGAATAATCCGAAATTTTACAGCGTTTTTATTTTTTTCTGAGCTTATTTGAAGAGATATCCCAAAATAAATAATAAATCTCACTTTTGGGCCACCATCATCAACTTTATTTTTTCAAATACAGGCCCTTATTTTTTATTTTAGATTTTATAAGCGTCTGATGTCTCAAAACCAATAACGCACAATAATGCACTTATTCAAGAAATTTATATCATTGGCACTTTCCATAAGAACTAAATGCGTTAGAGAGAGACAGAGAAGAGATTCTTGGTAGAAAATTACTAAAAAGTAAAAAAAAATGCGGTATGTCATTGGTTTTGGGACATCAGAAGCTCTTAAAATCTGAAATAAAAAATCCAGGGTCAAATTTTAAAAAATTAAGTTGATGATGGTGGTCCAAAGACAAAACGTCAGATTTTAAATTTGATGGTAGCATATTTTGGAGGAGAAAAAGTGCCAATGATAGAGTGACATTTATTTTGGGATATCTCTCCAAATAAACTCAGAAAAAAATAAAAACGCTGTAAAATTTCGGATTATTCGCAATATTTCCGGAACTATTCGGAATTTTGAAAATTTTCAAAACGGTATTTTGTTGGGCATGAAATTGCGCAACTTTGCCATTATTTAACCAGCCCTGTATCACTTACCGTTTCCAATATCCCGATGATACTGCTCGAATTTGGACACCCTGTACACACTTAAGTACCTTTCAATAAGTTCTCACCAAGGTTCTCACAATCTAATAAAACTAACTTGGACTGTAAAAATTCAAAAATAGTTATTTATGATATAAGTGCTAAAAGTGACATTTCATTTTGTGAAAAGGGAAGTTTGGGACACGACGCCAAAGGCGGAGTGTTCCATCCCTTTGAACAAAATAAAATCACTTTTAGCACGAATATCATACACTATTTTTTCTACAAACGCACTAAAAGTGATTACTTTTAGCACTAGTGCTAAAAGTAATCACTTTTAACACCAGTGTCATAAAATGGCATTTTAGACACTGACAGCATCCGTTAAAAATTACACTTTTAGTGACGTTTGTAGAAAAAAGTAATTTATGAGAAAAATAAGTGCTCAGGAAGCTCATAAAAATACTGTTTTCTCACATCACAGCACGTATTACCAAGTATTTCAAATTATTTCTAGGTATTCCCTAAGGTATTACCAAGTATTTTTAGGTATTTCTCAGTATTTCTAGGTATTTCCAAAGTATTTATAGGTATTTCCAAATATTTCTAGATATTTCCAAGTATTTCCAGGAATTTATACACCGATTTCCTTGGGTGAAAAGCCCCTCGTAATCCCCTATAGTAAAATAGCTATTTACCTAACAAGTGCGGAAAATGAATTTTTCCGCACGCTTCACCGAACTCCGCTACGCGTCGTTCGGTGAACGGCAGCCGAGTGCGGAAAAATATTTTCCGCAAGTGTTAGGTACAATATTTTTCCTACAGGCGTAAAAATGTAAAATTTTCCTTTTTTTTTTTGACAGATCAGTGCGGTAAAAATTTTACCGCACCGTGCGGGAAAACTCATTTTCCGCACGCATATCAGTGCGGAAAATCGATTTTTCCGCACGGCTGTTTGACGTGTCTCACAGAAATAGAAAAAGAGAACTTAACTGTAATAAATACAAGTTAGAAAGTAATAAAAAATGACATGCGCGCGCAACTCGTGGCTGCAGTGTAGCCAGATTGTATTGTTGCAGAACAAATGTAGACAATAAAAATCGAACATTATAACATTAAAGAAGTGATATATTGTCGAGTGTTTTACAACGCCTTAAATCAGGCAAAAGAAGAGCTTTAAAGTGTATGTTAACATCCATGGCACTTTTATTTTAATAAATGTTTCATCTGGCAATATCGCACAATGAAAATATGTCAAGTATAATTTAACATAACCTTAAACGACACTGGGATAAGTTCAAGTAATACGTAAAGTATTAGTTTGCTCCTTGTCGAATTACACGTTACAAAGAAAGAAGAAATGATTAATTCTGAACTCGTCCCTGAATACGAATATGACGCAAGCCCGTAACAAACTCGATTTTAATTGGATGCTCACCTGCAACCCACGAGTTGCGCGCGCACAACAGGTATTACAAGACACGTCAATTATGAGGGGCTGCTAGCTTTACGTTTACTTGGTGTGTCAGAATGGCAAAAAAACTTCAGGATTTATATAATAATTAGGTGCTTCTTAGGTGCTAATTAGGGCCTCTAATTAAAAATTAGGTGCTCCTCTAGTTTATGAGAAAATCAAAAAAAACTAAGGGATTGCTAGGTTCATGAAAGCTAGTAGTCCCCTATAGTGAAAAATATTTTTCCAAAAATTTCTTTTGTATCAAAATTAGGTGCTTTTTAGGTGCTTCTAAATAGTCGAAAAAAAATAGAATTGATTAATTATTAACTGAGTTACAGATTTTTCTAAAATTATAAGGGGACTGCTGGCTTTATGTTTACTTGTTGGTGTGTCAGAATGGCAAAAAAACTTCAGGATTTATATAATAATTAGGTGCTTCTTAGGTGCTAATTAGGGCCTCTAATTAAAAATTAGGTGCTCCTCTAGTTTTTGAGAAAATCAAAAAAAACTAAGGGAGTGCTAGGTTTATGAAAGCTAGAAGTTCCCTAATAATTAAAAAAAAAATTGTAACTCAGTTAATAATTAATCAATTTTATTTTTTCTTTGACTATTTAGGAGCACCTAAAAAGCACCTAATTCTGATACCAAAGAAATTTTTGGAAAAATATTTTTCACTATAGGGGACTACTAGCTTTCATGAACCTAGCAATCCCTTAGTTTTTTTTGATTTTCTCATAAACTAGAGGAGCACCTAATTTTTAATTAGAGGCCCTAATTAGCACCTAAAAAGCGCCTAATTATTATATAGATCCCGAAGTTTTTTTGCCATTCTGACACACCAAGTAAACATAAAGCCAGCAGCCCCTAATAATTGAAAAAAAATCTGTACCTAACTCAGTTAATAATTAATCAATTCTATTTTTTCTTCGACTATTTAGGAGCACCTAAAAAGCACCTAATTCTGATACCAAAGAAATTTTTGGAAAAATATTTTTCACTATAGGGGACTACTAGCTTTCATAAACCTAGCAATCCCTTAGTTTTTTTTGATTTTCTCAAAAACTAGAGGAGCACCTAATTTTTAATTAGAGGCCCTAATTAGCACCTAAAAAGCGCCTAATTATTATACAGTTCCCGAAGTTTTTTTCCACCTTGGGACTGCTAGGTTTATAGACCTCAATAGTAAGCATAAGTAGTGGTTGACCCCTCGCCTCTAGC